TTAAACACTATGTGGGCCTCGCTGCATTCACCATCATATCGGATCATCGCCCGCTGCTGGCGCTCAGGAAAATGGCCATTGACAACGATCCTACAGGACGAAGGGGCCGGTGAGTTTTGGAGCTCGACCCATTCAACTGGACCATTATTCACAAAGATGGTTCACGCCACAAAATCGCGGATGCCTTGTCTCGCCGGCCTGCGTCTCCGGATGCCAGAGACCAGGCGGGCTCGCTGTCGGATGTGTGTGCTGCAGGATCGGTGGTCGAATCAGAGCTGCCAGGGGATGAGGAGACGCTCATGGAACGGCGGCCGGCATATTCTCTCTGCCACAGCGACTCTGAGCTGCAGCTGTTGCAATGCGAGGACCCGGAAATTGGGGCGGTGTTGAGTTGGTTGGAGCGAAACACAGTGAGACCACCTCGCAGACACCTGAGGGGGTCCTCACTCTGCGTCAGGAAACTGTGGACTGAGTTCAACCATCTGTCCGTCATTGATGGTTTGTTGTGCGGAACTATACTCTCTCCGGCAGGGGAGAGGCACGTGCAGGTGGTGATCCCCTCATCTCTGGTGCCCGAGCTTCTTCAGCAGCTGCATGGGGGCCCAGCTGCTGCACACTTTTCCGCAGAGCGAGTTTGGGAGAAGGCCAGGCAGACCTACTATTGGCCCTTCATGTCGAGAGACATTAGACAATGGTGTGAACAGTGCAGAGGCTGCCAAACCCGCAGGGCCCCAGTTCCCAGGCAGAGGGCTCCCATGGGAGGGTCCCAGGTTAGTCGCCCTCTACAGCGGGTGGCTGCAGATATCCTCGAGCTGCCGGTAACTTCAAAGGGGAACAGATATATATTGGTGGTGGATGACTATTTCACCAAATTTGTTAACCTGTATGTGCTGCCCAATCAGACTGCTCACACAGTGGCTCGCTGCCTGTTTGATGACTATGTGCCGGTGCATGGGATCCCTGAAGTCCTGCACAGCAACCAAGGCCGACAATTTGAGGCAGATGTGATTCAGAGCCTCTGCAAGTTGTTAGGTATCAAAAAGACACGCACTACCGCCTACAACCCTAAATCAGACGGTATGGTGGAGCGTCATAACCGGACTCTGATTGATCAGCTGGCGAAGATGCTGCTCTCACATGCAGGTGAATGGGATGATTATGTGAAGCAGGTGGCGTTTGCCTACAACACATCCAGACATGCCAGCACTCATTTTACCCCTTTCTTCCTCATGCACGAACGCGAGGCATGTGTTCCAGCTGATGTTCTGATTTCTAACAGAGTCGAGATTCCTCAGGGCTCTGGAGTCCTGCCGGAGTATGTGCCAGCCCTGGTGGGGAGGCTGGAAAAAGCCTTCAGTGCAGCGAGGCTTCATGCAACAGAAGCTCATGAGAGACAGAAACTGTATCATGATGAGGATGTTTGCCATCGTCCTTATGGAGAGGGCGCGTTAGTGTGGCTTAACAACCTGACTGAGAGTCGCACCAAACTGGCGCCTCACTGGAAGGGCCCCTACAGGGTCGAGCAGGCGCTGGCTTCAGGTGGTGAGGCGGCCCTGACATACAGGATTGTCAACCCACGTGACCCGCTGGACCGGGTCCAGGTGGTTCACCATGATAGACTGAAACGGTACACTCTGCCCCTACCATCACTGGCTGTCGCTGACACATCACCCTCCCTTCCGGCCTCTCCTGAAGTGGGGGCTTCTCAGTCTGCTTGGAGGGGGGAGCAGCGTGTGCTAGGACGGTTGGACACTGGCCTTGGAAGGGGTGGGGCAGAGCCTGACCCTGTATGGTCCCGCGGGGGTCGTGTGGTGCGTCCCCCATTGCACCTCCAAGAATATGTTCTGTTTTGACTGATGGTGGGTTGCCACCCGGGATATTAATCCGTGTGTGAATTAGCCGTTATAGTTGTTCTGAATCATACGGTGTCATGTTTCGTTGTTCACCTTGCTATTTAGGGTGCCATTTATAGTTTAGTTTACTCCTGTTAGCTGTGGTCATTTGTTGTTTTCTCTCGTTGATTTGAGATTTTTGTGTAATTGTATATGTGTTTGCTGGTCACGAAACGGGGACGTTTCTAATTGAGGGGGGGACGTATGTAACAGACTGTCTCATGTTTGTCGTTGACGACGATATGTCCCTTGAGGGTTGCCGTAGCTAAGGCGCAACTCCCGCATCTGGCAAAAGGAGAAAACAATAATAAAGAGAGTAGCCGTGGGCTGATACAAGATGTCTAATCTCCCGACTCCAGTTATTACTGTATGATAAGTGCCCTTATACACGAACCCAAGACGCCCGGTTACACCACTTTTATTGGATTTAGAGTAAAACAACAGCTAATACTAGCAGAGCCAAATGCAACCAATTACACTGCAACATCTATCGTGTAAAAAGACAACAACTAATGGTACGATTTGAAAATTCCTGACTTTGGTGCCCCCAGTGGTAGTATCAAAAAATGACACTGTGGCTGACAGCAATGCAGGCTAAATCCACAACCCCGACACCCCTTTAATCTCATAAACAGTTGCATATACATAAAAGGGTTGACAGATGGAAAATGTACATCAAAGTGATACAGATGTGGGCACCTCCATTTAGAAACGGCAGAAAAACTGCTCATAGAAGATGAATTTTAAATGAGAGCTGGTCTAAGCACGTATCAAACCATTTAATTTGCATAAACAGCTGCACTTCAGCTGCAATGCTCCAGAGACATCTGTACAAGTGAGTATATTTAAAGCTACAAAATGATTATTCCTTCATTTGATTTATATGGGTTTTTGATTTACATGGATGGTCTCTGAAGGACGGTGTCAGATGCAGTAAATACAATTTTATTATGGGTAGATATCATGTACATAAATGCAAATGGACAAACAGTAAACCCTCCCTTAACTGTTTCAAAAATCAATGTAAAATGTCGGTTAATATATGATGTCATTTTCAATTATAGTCCTTGCTGCTCAAATTTGTTAAGTTTACATTTTCTTATATTGCCAACCCCACAAATGTTTAAATGTTCATCTGTTTCTTTTTGTTTGTTTTTTTCTATTGTTTTTTTCTTTTCTTCAACTAGCTTTTTTTTGTCATACTAAATGTATGTATTTGTGTATATTAATTTATATTAGGGCTGCCCCCTCTTAGTGGACTAATCAGTCATTTTGGTCTTAGGTGACTAAGATTTCTGTTGTCGATTAGCCATTTTTTAAGGCTTTACATGCTGAATGACTTATTTCCAAGAAACCTATGAGCATATCTCTGGTGAAAAACAAGATTTAAAGCGGTGCATTTGTGCGATTCTTCGTGGAATTTACCCATTTTAGTATATAGCTTAAATGTAGCAAGCTGCAACATTGAGACATTGTGTAAAACAAGTCCACATACTTTAAAAAAAAGAACCTACTCAACCAATCAGCAGGCAGCACACCAAGAATATAATGACTGACAGGTCAGGAATAGAGACAGATAAAAGCTATTAATCACTGTCTCTTACTGAGTCACACTCAATGAGATTCTCACATTATGGGTGACTGAAACTTGAAGTCCTTTTATCTGGATAAGTTGAATTAGAAAAACACAGATGCTTGTTGATGGACCAGGCAATGTGACATTACAGTCAAAGCAAGTGGGTGTCAGAGTCAGGTGACTGCCTGCAGTAGCTTATTAAACTCTGCCTTTCAAACCCATCTTGTGTTTGTTCAAGATACATTTCATGAGGTAGTCTCAAATCCCAATTTTTAACATTTTAGACAAAACTGTGGAAAGCAAGCAAGAAAATAAAAAATAAAAAATCTACAGGACTATATTAGAAATGTCATGAATTTTATTTACATAACCCAAAATATCAAATTTTCCTAAAAGAGCTTTATACTGAAGAATTTATATCCACCTCATTTTGAATTAGGAATAGGAATTGAATTGAAACTATACTTCAAAGGGACAGGGAGAGGGCTGTCAACCCTGTCAGTTGTGTCCTGTACTCCCCGCTCTCACCTTCCTCACCTCTCTGTTTCTTTCATCTCCTCTGTTTTTCCTAAGAATTCTTCCACTGGTAGACAAGCTTACAAAATCAAAATGAGCCATTTATAATGTCACTTTATAATAGTTTCCTGATATTTCTTGTCACCAACAGGACACGAATAAATGAATACTTACTGTACCTGTACTTGGATCAAGTCTCCTATTAAGATGTCTGTTTTTTGTGGAGAAATGACTGTCACGTATGCATATGTGTTTGTCGCTGTGCTACACAGAGGTGATGATGACACAGCAAAATCAAATGCACTGCGACGCTAACAGATTCTCTCTTGACTATATAAAATATGACAGGTAGGCTGTTTTTTTTTCTTGTACACATCTGTTGTTCTTTTGAACAACTGTTAAATCATTAAAAACAAATACTAAATACAATGTATATTTTTTGCGTCTATGCCTTTTGGATGGAAGAGGGAACCTCGTTTTTTCCGAACTGAAAGTAAAGGACTGGTCTAAGTTCACATGCTGACTTTACTTTGTACATTTGTAGGCCTGTATTATCTAACCATAACTTAAAAAGAGTACTTTGCTGTGCTACGTCTATCCTATAATGTTATGAAATATGTACTTTAATTATCTAAAATTGGGTTTAAGGGCATGAAGTTTCAGAGGACGATGAGACAGCCGGTGCATAAATCTTTTTCCAAATTTTCCTTCCTTCCTCCATTTTCATTCTTTGTGCTCCTTTGTGCTCACCATTATTCTTTAATGTCTCATCACCTGTATTTTTGTTCTACTGGTCAAAAAGAGACAGAGTGAGAGTAAGAGAGAAGGGGACGGAAAGAGGACCGACACTCTGCCTCTGAGCTGTCTGGCTGTTTTGGTGCAAGCAGAGCTGATGGTTGGGGTCACACAGTCATCCCAGTCCCAACAGAGGCACAATCCATTTCCTATGACAGCCTTTCTAACAGTGTGGCC